GGGGGCCTCCGATGTGTCGTTTCGACCCCTGCCATTTTTTTTTTTTCGGGGGGGGGGGGGGGGGCGTTCCCCGCACACCTCGTGCGCCGCACCCGCACGGTCGGGCCCGTGCGCCGGACGTAGGGAAACTCGCGCACGAGGTGCGCTTGCATGTATGGTCTGCATAAGTGATTTTTTTATTTTTATTTTTATTTTTATTAGGGAAGGAACAGTCGACAATAGGATACAGACACGTCAAGATATGCAGAGGATTCCGATAGTGTTCCTACCAGGGGAAAAACAAGGATCCGCGCCGAAGCAAGGGCCCATCTGCACAGGGTCAGGGAGGCAGCAGCAAAGGTGATTGGCAGCCAAAGACATGGCTACTTTCGCTATGGTTTTTGTCTCATCCCGTGGGACAACTGCAGGACCCTCCTCCAGTCAGATGGCAGGCTCACAATACCGCCAGCCACCTTTGCCCACTAGTTGGAGTTCAACTCCAGCAAGTAGAGTTTATCCATTTACGGTTAGAGAAGGATCTCAGACATGCTATTGAAAGAGACAAAAAATAGGAAAAGAAAAGCCAGGTTAGAGAACAGAAGGGCAGGCAAAGCTGCATTAGAGGGGTTACATGACTTGACCCTTGACGACACCGGATAGATTCTCGAGGCCAGAGCAGTCTTTTCCACAGCAGCTTTTCCATCGCCGCCACCCTAGTATCAGGCCATCAGCAGCTTTTCCATCGCCGCTGCCGTTACCGGTAATGACAGGCCCCTTCGTACCTCTATTTGGCATCTCACCAGGTGGTATATCAGCAGCAGCGGCAGAAACTGCTGCCGCTTCATCCTCAGGTCCAGCTGCTGCAGCTACGGTGCAGCAGCCGGTCCCGCAAATGGGACCACAACAGCCTTGGTATCCCAAGACCCAATTGAAACCCCCTAAAACTTTCTCTGGTGATAAGAAGGATAAGGCACTCAACACTTGGTCGAGGACAGTTCCAGTGTGGGTAAGCGTGAAGAGAGCGTTGCGTGAGGATGTTGTGATCACTGCCGCCTCATATCTGGAGGGCTCGGCAGTGAGATGGCTAGATGGGCTAGTGGCATCCAAAGGTTTTGGCAGACTGGGCAGAACCCATACTTTAGAGAGTTATATGGATTTGGTAGAAACACAACGACACAACCCTCAGCAGGCTCAGCAGGCCACTGATGCATTCACCCGACTTGATACTAAGAAGTACAAGTCTGTGCGTGACCTCACCAGTGCCGTAAAAAAACTCATCCTCCTCCCTGGTGTCAGCTATGATCCACAGGTCCTGCTGACCGTGTTCTTGAGATGTCTTCCCAAATACATCAATAATTTGATGGTCGATGAGGCCAGCATCGAGTATCACACTATTGACGCCTTTAACAAGAAGGCCTTGGACTTAATAAAAATTCTGACTAGGTGAGAGGCTAAGCTAGGAGGGGCACAACAACCTGCAACGGACTTGGTGGCTAAGCTATGGTCGCCTGTCTTCCTCAGCACAACGCCGCCCAGCACGACTCCTGAGCGCTCAGTCACTCACAATAGCGCACAGGCACTAGCAGCGCCTCCGCCTTCTTGCAAATGAGCGAGCTGTTTGAATGAGGCTGGGCCAGTCTTCTTATTGACTTGGAATCGGCCTGGACTTCACTTGGTCTCTGCTTGACTTGGCCTGGACCTGATTTGACTTGGTGCTGGTCACCCGCAGCCTGTTTGCTTTGGAATATTGGGGCTCGACACCTTCCCGACTTTTCTTGGAGAGCTGCTGCATTTTGACTGTGGGACTGGACTTTGCGGCCTTTGGGGTAACCAACTTGGCTTTTTCTCAGTTTCGGGCCTGCTCAGCCTCTCTTGAAATGGGGACGTTGACCCTGAGACTCAAATTTGGGGTCCGCAACGTGAAAATGCCTTCCACTCAACTGGAAATGAAAAACATTCCGCACAATTGTTGAGCTGGTCTACTATGACCATGACTTTTGTATCTCTATTTTTGCTTTTGACCTCAGTATCCGTGAAGTCTAGGGATTTAAATGACCTCAGTATCCATGAAGTCTAGGGATATAAATTCTCAAAGTCCCGAGGAGATAGGTAGTGGTCTCGACAGTTCTAGCGGAGCTTGGGTTGTACCCTTGTTCGTTAGACATACCTATAGGTGATACAATCTGATTTCATTCCTGGCCACATGTAGGTAAGTCACCGCTTCACTGGAGGGAACAAACTATCAAAGTTCTCCACTGGCTGTGTTGCATACCATAACGGTGCAGACCAGATGAAGAACTGACCTTTCTCGCCAGATACACGATTGCACAACGGAAGGCTCAAATACCAATGATCCGATCAATCAAGCTGCCATGCAGACCAAACATGCATCATCATCATTCCATGGTGTGAAGGGGGCTGACGCGCACACAGGAA